TGTAGTATGCTGGGTATATATATATAATGTGTACCTTGTGGCACATTGTTTCCACATAAAGGTGTCCATAAATTTACTCGATGCTCACCCGGTGCAGTTACTAAAAATGAAATTTACTTTCTTTCTTTTTTTTGCATTAGAAAGACATTCAGTCTTTTTGTTCTAGTAAGAGTTTTACAGCACTTGTAAATAAATTAGGTCATATAAATGCCGAAGATTAGAGGTGCTACATAAACGTGTCCATAGACTTGCTTGGTGTTTACCAAATGCATTCAGTTACTAAAAATCAAAAGGACCACTTTTTTTGCATTAAAACGAAATTCAGAACCTTTTTGTTTTAGGAAGAGTTTTACAGCACTTGCAACACAGGTAGGTCATGTAAGTGCCTAACATTAGAGGTATTACAAGAGAGCAACAAACACAACAAAGGAGTGGCGATAAGGACGACAGATGTTTGGTTGGAAAGAAGGAGCAAACCACACTCAAGCAACCTCCAACCACCCACAAAACTTAAACTTTTAAAATTGATATAAAGGGGCAGAGGTGGGGTCATTTCATGTCCTCTATATAGGAACAATCAAACTAAAATAATAGAGTATGTAATACTGAGGTTTTACTCTTCACGTACTACGATACTTACTGTACATAGAGCCAAACTGTTGATCATAGTTGAATTCTGTAACGGCCACATTATTTCCTTCAGCTCTCATGTCAGACTGTTGGGACAGAACAAAACTACACATAAATCACGAAAGTCTGTAGAGTAATCAAACTATACTGTTGCACTCAGAAAAGGTGGGTTCAACTCCCATTTGGGGAAGTCTGTTTCATTGGGTATCTTCTACGTTCGACAAGGAAGTGGTTTCTCGTTTGGCAGGTAATGACTCTCTCTCTCTCTCTCTCTCTCTCTCTCTCTCTCTCTCTCTCTCTCTCTCTCTCTCTCTCTCTCCCTCTCTTTCTCTTCCCACTCCTTCTTGCTACAGTTATACTAAAATGGCATTGATCATTATACAAAACAATGTAATTATGAAAGTACTTCAATGTCAATAGACACCATACAGCCTTTTCCTTTTTTAACATTTACAAAGTTATATATTTTCCCAGAATCACAATCAATTTCCCTGGTTTCAAACTCGCTTTCAAAGAAGTCCTCGGTCATGAAAAAAAAATGTAACAACACACACACAACTTACCCGAATTTTTCTCAATAAGCAGCTGACCTGAAATAATAAAAGAGCAGAAATAAAATGGTTCTCGATACACTCGCTCGACTCATCCATGAACATATTATGAAATGTAATGAGTTTTGCGCCATATTTTTCTGGTTGTACTGGGCACGGCCTTTTCAACACCTTTGAATAATAAGTGGCTGAATCAGATATACATGTAGTTTTTAAGGTTTCATTTCAAACTTATTTTTAAGCTTTTACTTGTCTGCTTTGGTGCCTCATTTTGATTTCCATGGACTTATTCCCCTTCACTCTTGTTGAAATAAAGAGCTTTTTTATTACCCGTATGCAAACTTTAAAAGTCCAAAGATCATTAAAACCAACAATGTCTAATACTGTCAAAGTAGAACAAAATTTTGAAAAAAGAACAATTTTAAACTCTTAAAACAGTATGGATAGTAACAACAGTAATAAAATGAAAAACCATAACCATAACAGTGAAAATAGAAATAGCATTATCTTACGTCAATATATCGTGACTTCCACTCTCTGATTTCTTTTCTGAGATCGTCAAACTCCAAACCGTCACCTTGACAACTCTGGACGTGGAAAAAAGTTAGGGTTCATAAATGTTACGCTTTTTGTCTTGACAACATTCATGTAAGTAGCTTACATACTTCTCAAAGCGAAAGAATGGGACATCAAAATGGTAGAATTGTGAGATGTAGTAAAAGGAAGGGGATGGAACAGTTCAAAGTCTTGAAATAGCTTGGCGCAGAAAATGCATCATGTAGGCTTACTAATTTCCTTTGACAGATGTAACCACTTTTTCACCAAACCCATAAGACTAACAATGTTCATACCGCTGCTTCCAAATTACAAAGGTCTATCTGTTCAGTACCTACTAGTTTTGAGAAATCTGACGTAAAAAAAATTTGAGTTCCACAATATATCAAGTTTTCTTTCGAATGTAATTCTTTGAATACCTAGATAAAGACTAAGAATTATCTTACGATTTTTAAAGAGCAGAGGGAGCATTAGATTTCTGATCTCACGGTTTTTGTAACTGAAAACGGCCAAAAGTGTCTGATAGAACTTTGTATTTCTGAGTTTGCCACACAGTGCCGATATGCGTTCAGCACCTCTACATCAAGACCATCCAAGAAGCGGGACTATATTTCAATTTTGCTTGCGTAAACGATATAAGTTGTGCAGTCAGTCTACATCAGCTCTATAGTCTCATTTATTCCACAGACTTCTTTTTAAAAAAAGCTCAATAACAAGCTCTCCATAACCAAAATTCCCCCATACATCATCGACCTTTATTCCCCCTAAATTGCAAACCTATATTCTACTCATACATGTCCACCCACAACACCCCCACACCCAAACAGACATACTCACAATGACAATCACAATGACGATGACAATCTTCTTTCCCTGGGAGAAATTTGTTTAGGATATATATATATATATATACAATAAGTACTTGCCTGCTGTCTGTTTTGCACACGCCCCATCCACTGGTTGTACTCTACCAGGTCCCCTCTCCACGGGTCTAGTTCAGTGACGGGTGCACCTGAAAGAGATGTGGTACTGTTTAATCGAACCTGTGTAGTATGCTGGGTATATATATAATGTGTACCTTGTGGCACATTGTTTCCACATAAAGGTGTCCATAAATTTACTCGATGCTCACCCGGTGCAGTTACTAAAAATGAAATTTACTTTCTTTCTTTTTTTTTTTGCATTAGAAAGACATTCACAGTCTTTTTGTTCTAGTAAGAGTTTTACAGCACTTGTAAATAAATTAGGTCATATAAATGCCGAAGATTAGAGGTGCTACATAA